GCATATATTTGAAGAAATTAAATAATGAAATCGCGTAAATGTATGTATATTTCTCACTTGTCATAAAATAAGGTACATAGAGTCATCGAATTTGAATAACGTAATCCTCCAACGAATATGAGCATGTGGAAGACCAAATTTGAAATTTGGAATTTGTTTTTATGATCGATTTCCTATTTTTTTAAAACTTTGACGAATTTTGATTAAAAACTCAAGGATTTCAAAGCGAGCAATGGCAACGTTGTGCAGAAAAAACATTTTTATCTCCAGCGCGTGAGTCTCTGTAATCGGAAATTCTAAGATATCTCGTTAAAACTATTTTGCTATTGCTGTTGCACTGGATCTTATGGTTTTAAGTGTGAGGAACATGATATTAATAAAGAAAGTAAACACAACAAATGTTAAAAACGCCCCTTTGGACGTAATTTAAAATCTGAATATTTCAGATTTTTTTTTTTTTTTTTTTAAATCAAAACTCCGATTTTAAAAGGTAGCGTGCCAGAACAAATCCTTTGTTTCGGCTTCTACCGGAAGGCGTCGGTATTCCTAGGTTTTACGCAAAGCAAGCTTGGTAAAGGCCGAAATATAATATTAATAAGCATACTTCGGACTTTTCCAACCACTTGGTAAAGCGAAGTTTTACGGTAAAACCTAGGATTTACCAGACTTGGGCTTTTCCAGTAACCATGCATGCAGAGATTCTTCATTATTTAATTTCTTTAAATATAATACAGGCGAAAATTTGGTGGCAAGAATTTTAAAGTATACGCTTTTTATTCCATTCTTATATAAGTTCTGGGCTACTTTTCTTTTTTTTTTTTTTCAAGATTTTTTTTTTTTTTTTTTTTTTTTTTTTTTTTTTTTTTTCTTTTTTTTTTTTTTTTTTTTTTTTTTTTTTTTTTTTTTTTTTTTTTTTTTTTTTTTTTTTTTTTTTTTTTTTTTTTTTTTTTTTTTTTGTTTTTTATTTTTTTTTATTAACAACTTTAAACGGTGAGGGTCGTATTAATAAAGCTCATTACCACGGCGAACGGTATTATTATACACCATATCTCCAAGTCTTTACTCTGCCTTTATTTCCGCTATAATTGGTCGTAGACATATACTTTCATTTTTTTTTTTTTTTTTTTTGCATAATTATTAGATTATAATTCTAAAGAAATAAAACTGCATAAGAACACCAAAAACATATTTCTAGTGGTTGAAAATTTATACATGATTCGAAAGAAAGTTCTTACTGCATACCCAAATGTAATAAAATTATAGAGTAAAGATAATAGTAAATCACAAAACAGTATCACTGAACGGCATTTAAGAGGAATATCACAAACCCGAACTCATTTATTAAATTATTATTTGAATTATTATTTAATAATTCGTTTATTAACCGAGCCCTCAATGAAAATTGAAAATGACAACTATCGCAAATTTTGAAACACATATATTCATGCACATTAAGTAAATATCTCAGTAAGTTTTCGTCGCATGGGAGTCAAACGTTTTGCGTTTTATATTTTGTAATAAATATTTTCTAAATGTAAGTATAATTTCCAGGAAAGCATATAAAAAGTCAGATTTCGTAATTTTTGCAAAAATTATTTTTAAAAAATTTGTTAAGTACTCTTTTAATTTTTTAACTAGTTATTTTATGCTAAACAGCTTTTCTGTCATTCTCTTTTTTTATTTTCCTGCCAGAATGCAAATTTAAGTTCGCATGCATTCAAAATGAGATAGTATTTAAAGAAAGGTTTTAGACTGTTGGAATAAGAGCACCTTTACTTATTCGGAGAAATTGTGAACCGTGTAGATAATGTAAGTTATCTATGGGGTATTTTTGATCAAAAGTACACATGGATTTGTCGTATTAAACACGTCATAGGAAAAGCCTGTGGTATCGCCAACCATCTTTCTGTACTCCCTGGAAATTAATCTTCTCAACTACATACGCATTATATGGCCAATTCTATGCTACGCATCTGCAGTCTGGTCGTCAGCCTCAAAGGCAGACTTCCCCAAACTTCAGGTAGTACAGAATAAGATTCTGAGAAGAATTGTAAATGCACAGTACCTGATTAGAAATAAACTGGTCCACGATGACTTGAGAATCGAGCATCGTCAAAACTGGACTTGCTGCAAAATTTTTAGAATTTCTTAGTTACCAAATCATTCCAGAAGATAATTTGATCAGATCAATTGCTACTTAAATACATAGAGATTCCAGCTTCGTAACCAGACTTTGAATGCCACCGTTTACTTGCTTTCTTGCGCGGCGTGACTTTTGTCGCTCTTTGTCTTCGCACACATGCAGACATTGGCACACACGCAGTAAGGGAGACAACAGTCTGACTCCTTTTACTTGACTTTCTTGACCGTTCCTGGAGTTTCACTCACATTCTGATGCTGCATAAGCAACTTCATAATTAGTATCAGTAACGATATCGAATCACAGAGTGTTCCGCGTGCTGAAGGCCACGTTAGTAGCTGAATCTTCTGCTAACAGTCTGTCTGTGGTATTGCATTATTCTTGCCATCTGGCTTGTCCCGCCGTTATTAGGTTAGAGACAACTTGCGAGCATTCTTTCTGTGCAGCCTTTGGCTACTTTAATCACAATTCAGCTTAGTTTTAAATTTAATTCATTCCTTCTGAGTTTTGCCATAAATGCTGGCTGGTTTTGTAAGCACAAGAAGTGCATTCTGTTAAATTATATGAGTATTTTACACCCTTCTCGTTTTCTCTGTCTTCTTATTGAACATAGCGATAATTCGGTTAGCTTTCAGATTTGAGTCTCAAGTAGTCTATGTTTCCAAAGAAGGTAAGACTCTACAATTTAAAAATGCCAAAACAGGAATCTTTGCCTCGTTTGAGACATTTTTGTAAATGGAAGTATATGTCTAAGACCAACGATTGTGAAATTTTGCAAAATAAAAATCTATTTATAATTTGATTATATATGATTATTCTTGATAATGTATCTTTAGCATTTTATCTACTTATGTGAGTTCCAGATTTAGAAAATTAAATAACTGTTTATTAAGTGAAAATATACTTGTAAGATTTTCACTAGTGTAACCCTCAGTTACTGTAGAAAGTGACGAATCTTAAGAACTAGTTAGCGAATAATCGCTTAAGTTCGTGTGACAAGAAACCACAAGATGGAAGGGTAACGCTTTATTATTCCAATAAGATTTAACAAAACTCCATCTTGGAGTGTACAATCAAAGCCGAAACTTGGGCTTGAACTTAAGAGACTAAGAATTAAACTAAAATTAAGATTAACTAAAGAAATATAGCCGAAGCTATCAAGATTCGAGTTGGCCCCTTAACTTTATTTGACTACGAAGCTTATCAAGGGCCTGAGTACGGCCGAGTGTAATAACAGCTTTGAGAGAGAGAGAGTGGCCAAAAGGCAGACGCGTGTAAATCAGAAACTCTGATTTTCTCTAACTCTGTAAGTAACTTCGCGGTGTAAATACCACTCCTTCTCATTAAGTATTCAGAAAAATTCCAAAACTACGTTCTGGCCGCAAGTAGTAAGTTGAAGTTAAGAATTTGACAGGAAAGGAACTTAAAATTTAACTGTTAATAAAATTAACATAATCCTTACATACTCTTATCTGCATTTTATCAAAATTAAAAAAAAAAAAATAATGCTATCAAAGATTGAGTGCACGTCATTAGTTTATTGTTCACTTTAGTTCTCATTGACAAAAATAATAATATTTTTTTGTGAATGCGTAAAAGTATCACTAGCCAAGAATAAAAGAAATATAATTATTTGTAATATAAAGCCATCCCGATTCTTCGAAATGCTGCTTTATCATTTTTAATGGTTATAGCAACTAATAAAACATACACATTCTTATATATTTGAATTTATTTAATACTTTTAGCTTTTTATTGAGTTGTAGGGCTTTATTTAATTTTAACTAACAGTTAATTTTATTTTGGAGCAACCTTTCCTATAAACTCTTGTTTTTAACCCACACATTCTTGCTAGAATGAGATTTCAGTTTCGTGCATTACTAAAATAGGGTAGAAAGCTATTGTTTAAGTTGGTGTCTGAGTTACTTCAGACAGAGCGTGTTTACAGCGTTTTCAGGGTCTGTTGAGAGCGTGTTATGCCTTTTGGCCACGTTATTTCTCTGCCAGTTAAGCTTGCTTTTTTTACAACCGTGCTTATTAATTGCCGGTTACTCTACCTTGGTGGTAGCCAAGTGCCAACTATGCGTTAAACATCTTTGTGCAGCTTCGGCTGATTTATTCAACTTATAAGGTAGGTAGGTAGGTATGGCGCGGTCCACCCTCCTGGCAAGCCCAAGCTCGCCTTATGGCTTTTCTAGACCGGCCACGAAGGAAAAACGCATAGGACAACACAACTATTTTCTCCCACCTTCCGGCATGCCTTCGCGGCGTAACGATAAGCACACTCGGCGCTTATTCAAGAGGTCCAGGTTCGAGTTCCGGCGAGGGCATTGCTCATTTTCCAGATCTCCACCTTCAAAAATACCTAAAATGTCTACAAACTTAGGATTGGTTTTAATTTTACGTTTTCAGTTTTGAGTTGCGCCAAAAATATTGGCGATGCCCTGTATGCATCTGTGTGCATACAGGAGTGCATCTGTTCATATTACTCTTGTGTTGAATTAAAAGGGTGTCTTTTTCCCTTCTTTTGTGTTCTTCTTCATACAAGTTGCATTTAGCGAATAGTCGCATCACAGTTCAAGTTCAGATCTAGCTTCCAAATAAATTTAATTTAGCTAGAATTTTATAAAGTTATAGGAAGTATTAAATACAATAACTATATTGTATTTATAATGATGAACTGCAAACATTTGCTTATATTTTCGGTTTATTTAACAGAAATTGCGGTTTGAAAAGTAGGGTAATGGGAGAAGCTTCAAATTAATGAAAACATATAGCGGTAAGAAAGAGAATATTTTTCATCATATATACATATATATGTTATTTGCTATCAAAAGGTCAGAAAAAGCTATTTTATTACCATTCTCATCTAAATCTTCCAGAGAACTGTCTTCAATTTCCTTTTTAAGAGCTATAAAAGAAAATGTGAAATCCCTTTTCATTTCATTATACAACACTTTGAAAAAAGTGAGTCATATTTTTTTCAATTAAATATACACGCACACACATTATATAAACACACACACACACATATATATATACAAACATAATTAGGTAAGGAAAAAAAAAGAAGGAAACAAAATTGCAATCCTAATATTTCAGATTAAAGTCTAACATCTAAAAGGAGACTTTGCCATTAAAAATTTCAAATTGCGCTCATGTGTAAAATGATCTTTACATGCATGAAATCACGGATTTCTCAGAAACTGTGAAACATGATCTTATGAATTTGTGTACAATGATACATAACATTATAATACATTAAAAAAAAGATTTTTTTTTTTTTTTTTTTTTTTTTTTTTTTTTTTTTTTTTTTTAATAGATTCTGAAATTCCGAATCAACAGTTTTATCCTTTCGAAATCGGTCTAAAATCCGACCAAAGATGTAGCTTCCGGAAATGCATTTTAATTTTTTCGTGAAGTTTTAAGTGCTCAATGAAGTGGTTCCAGCCAATGAATCCAGAACTACTCAATTTTACGTTGCTGAAATTGTTAAATAAGCAGAATTCTTTTCAACAGAACACAGCAACCGTTCCTTTTTAACTCTTTCAATGTTTAGTACGACAAAAGTACATCTCAGAAAAATTTACATCCATTTTTGTCTTTTGGTAAACTAATACTAGAAACCAGGTTTTGATAATATCTGGAATAATTTTCAAAGGCTAATACTTGGGATGGCAATAATGGACTTGGCCATAATCCGGAATCATCATGCACGGGCAAATGAGTATTACTGCAGAAATTGTACATTTTACTATTATTTGCAATACTATTTATACTTATTTGCAATACTATTTAGCTGAATGGAATCGCAAAATGTGCGATTCCATTCGGCTAAATTGGAAATAGCTAGGACTTCTAGGTGATTTTTTTCATGACACAACTTCGCATCTTGCGAATCGCAGATCTTCTAGACCACAACTTCTTCCTGACTCCCCTCAAGCGACTGCAGTTGCAACTTTTAGAATGTTAACCTTTTAACTGTCATGCCCGAGATAATCTCGGGCACAGCACTGGTGTTCGAAAATGTCACGCCCGAGTATTACTCGGGGTAATTTTTTTTTTTGAGTGCATCATATGTTTATCCCGAAATATATATCGGGAGACTTTATTTCGTTTCATCTCTTTGTCAACCCGAATGTATCTCGGGAAAAGTTAATGTGTGCTCAGTTCAATAGACGACAGCACTTACTGAAGATTTCAAAGGTTAGAGGTTATAATTCTTTAGTTCAATGTGCACGGGATCTTTTGTTGTAAAATGGCGTCCAGTTCTTTGAAACGTTATAACCGAAGATGAAGGATATGTGGTTTTGATGAGCAGTATTCATGATACTTCCATGGTCCCCTCAAAATAAAAAAAATGAAGACATACTCAAGCAAAGATTTTTTCGACTACAGTCTAACTGTGGGTGGTTGTATCACTGTGATCAGAATCAGAAAAATATTATAAAAAGATATCTTTACATTTACTAGACAAGGTACTCTGGAACTCATATTGCTCTATAAAAATGTAGTTGGGAAACGTATTACATTTTTAGAATTTCGAATCCAAGTTGTAGAAGAGCTTTACACTACAATATGATGATACAGCTTCTGGACAAAGAATGTTGGCAGAGCACCTACATAGATAACCCTGCCCGTCTTACTGAACGACATTTATATCCCATATTCCTCCTACTCCAGCGAAACGTCAGCCTACAGACAGTGCAAGTGTGTTGTTCGAAAAAGGATAAAAAATTGGAAAAAGATAAGGAAGGAAACACGATTCTGGTGTAGTGATTGTGGAGTTGGTTTGTGCTTGGAAAAGTGTTCCAGTTATACCACACAAGACTGAATTACTGAAAGATATTCACTTTATTTATTTAATTTTTTTTTTATTTATTTTTTTAGAATATAATTAATTTTTTTTTTCATTTTTAAAAATAATGCTCCACTAGAAGCGAACTTTACAACTGCCATGTTGAGTGGCAGCCGCCTCAAGCAAATATGCAGTGGCTACAAAACTTTAAATTAAATATTTTACCCATGTGCTTCAAAATATCAATTTTTAACTACTAAGTATATTTTATTTTGTACTAAACATTTGATTTTTGCAATAAAAAAATTTGACAATTTGTGCACCCAAATCATCAAAATAACTTGACAGTTAAAGGGTTAACAGGGCACGATTACCTCCGTGCTCATCGTTTTCGTTTTAACATTGTTGACACGCCTACGCGTTGTCTTTGTATGACTGAACAAGATATGGCTGCCTGGACGAATGCCCTGCACTATCTGCTCTTTCTTGTCATGTGGCGAGATGGAGAGCCTGTTGTCTAATGGCTTAGTGGCCAAACGAGAAGCAGTTGATAAATAAAATAAAAGAGTTTTCTATTACTTTTTCTGATGTTTTGACCGGCTGCATTGAAGTTTAAAGTATTTCCCGGGTAAAACCTCTTTCTGATTGTTAGGTTCCTTTTAGGAAAATTTTGGTAATTTCAGTGGTAACTGAGACTCTGACGGACAACTAGTACTGGTAGCATGAGCTTGGGCATTCTCTGGGTTTTGGAGAAATTGAGTAATTTTAAAATTCTGGTTTATTACGTTTTTCCTCTCGCTTTCTTTTCTTCAGAAAATTCAGATACCTAGACAGTTTTTTCTGGTTTTCTTCCGATACCTGGGAAAACGTGAAAGTAAAATAAAAGAAAATAACTGTGATAAGAATTATTGCTTAAAACAGTTCTTAAAAACACTGGGAAAGTCACTGGTTGAAATATTTTACCTTACTTCTGAAAAACTGAGTATATCGTAAACCACTGCTGGGGGGGGATGTACTATTAGATCAATACCAAATAATTCAAGAAGCTGGTGGTACTCTTTTGTTTATTAAAATTAATAAATCAGATTTAAAGTATATATTTAAGACGTAATGAAATAACGAAACATTTTCCTTCGATTTTCCATATAGCTAAAAATGGGAAAATGGTCAATTTTTAATTTCAGAACACCTTTTATACACTCTTTTGTAAAAAAATCGAAGCACCAAGAAGGACTTTTACGATCGTGACGAAATATGGTCTGCAAAAACATTTTGGTTCGAACATGCAAAGGCTCAAAATTTCAAGGCAAATGAACAGGAACTGCGATCATAGCGCGCATTTCTAGTGCGCAATAGTTAGCAAAGTATAAAACCAGTAACAGAGGCGTAAAATTTATCTTTTTTTTGTTGTTGTTGCTGCCGTTGTAATTCCGTAAAGAAGCAACTAATGATGCCATTACGACGGTATCGAAGACTATACAGCAACTAAACGACTTCGAACGTGGTTCGCATTGTAGGGTTGCGTTTAGCTGGGTGGTCATACCGAACAATAGGCCGCCACCTGCAGCGTACAGACACTGCTGTGCAAAGATGTTGGCAGCAATGGTTGCTACAAGGAAATTGCCGACGAAATGAAGGCTCTGGAAGCCAAGGATCACGAGTGCGAGGCAAGATAGGATGATTGTTCGCCAGGCCCGAACCGCTCCAACGGTATTATCGTCGACTATACTACAGCCACGTCTATATCTCCCGTGGTAGTTTCCACCGGCGCTTTTCTGAGGCGGAGTTACGCTCACAGAGGCCTTTAAGACGTTTGCCTTTGACCCCACAACATCAGCGTAGTCGTCTGGAGTGGTGTCGCAGCCGATCATCATGGTTGCCATCAGACTGGCATCGTATGGTGTTCAGCGATAAATCCCGCTCACTCTTGAAGCAGATGACCACTGTGTTCGTGTTTGGAGAGAACGGGACTAATCAGCCTTTGTTTTACAAAGGCATACAGCCATAACCCCTGGTGTGATGGTGTGGGGCGCTATTTCTTATGACTGAAGGTCATCTTTAGTCATCCTCCGTACATCTTTAACAGCTCAACGATATGTTGATACCATCCTGCGGCCGGTTGCATTACCCTTCATGTGATTCAATGGGTGATTGTGAGCCGTGAACAAGTACTGTGACCTTGATTTTTTAATCATTTTATTATCTGTGTATGAGCTATACACATATTCAATTTCATCTAAAACAACCACTTCCTTCATGGTGCTTCGGTTTTTTTGCAAAAGAGTGTATTTTTATTTCACTTCAAATCTGAGGTATATTTTAAATTCAGTGATATTCCGTAATATGCTAATATTTTCTTCTCGAAAGCTAATAATTTTTAATTTAAGAAACAAATGCTTCATGGTCAAAAACAGTTTACAAGTAACTATACTCAAATTGTTGCTTTTCTGAATTAAAAAGCCAACATAATATGTAATTTGACTTACTTTTTTTAATGCAGAATAAAAACTATAACAAGCATTACCCCCCTTACCCCCCCCCCCCCGAAAAAAAAAAAAAAAGATAAGCGTTGCACAAATTAACTGCGATTGCAACAGAAGATACAAAATAAGGATTAAGCAATTTGTCGAACGCGTGTAGAGCTATAGCGTCTACCCTTAAATACGCATCGGCATGACGTAAATTTCGGTTCGAACAAGACAAGAATTTTCCTGTTCATACAGTGCAGCGAAACAGACTGCTTGTTTTTAAAACTGCCCTGCGCCTTTTTGACTCGGCGCCGTCGTGCACCGCACGACCCTGCACCTAGACGGTGCGGGCCTGTCCAAAGTGATTACAGCATTCTGATTGTCGCATTCGTGTATGGAGATACTGAGGTGAATAAATGCTGGAGTCCTATATTCTTCATCACCATGTCGACCCAGCACGTAAATTGATATTGTGGGCTATTACTCACTACATCTCTACTCCGCGTATCCAGTGTTTTTACCAGTCACCACTACATTGCTAAATTTTTAATCTCTTGACTGTGTCTTATCTTCGAGATCTCCATCGCCCTACTCTTTGAACAAAATAAATCGAAAACGCTTTGTTGCCACGCTATCCTTACGTTCCTCACTATACACATTGTTCTACTATCTTCGCCGGCGTATTCACGGAGTCTCTCACCAAACAAAAACGTCTGGTCAAGATAGCTGATAGAAGAGCCCGATAACACCTGCCAAACAGTATGAGAGATGATTTCTAGAATAGAAATGAAGCCGCAAGGTCTGAAATACAGGTAACTTCCATGCTGAATCTTCACGACTCGATCTAGCAATATTTGTTGTCAAAGACGATTGCTCAAAGAACAGATTTCTGCATGTTCGTCATCTCAAAATTATGCAATAATAATTTAATTTTTTAATTATAATATATTTGTAAACAAATATCATTCTTCTACAGCTTTCCTTCATACTGTAGCAATTTCAGGCCATTGTATAACATATATATATATATATATATATCTTGAAGAAATTTATAGCAGTTTGCTTGCTCTACCTAAATTGTTTCCACAAATTTCTACAATATTAATTGCGGAAAAATGGCAACTTTTTCTTTCAAGCGTACTTTTCAATAATTATATTCAATTTAATAACAACATCTTTAAACAAATACAGGGAATACCTATGGGGGGGGCAATTTTGCAGCTGCAATCTGTGAATTATTCCTTTTTACACAAGAATTGACTTTTATACGTTCGCTCAATAATGAAGATCATAAATATTACCAACGCATCTTTCGTTATATTGATGATGTAATAGCCTTCAACAAAACAGAAAAAGCTAATATATATCCTTTCTGCCTACAACTTAATACTACAAATACAGTGCAACATGATATACTCGTAGTTTACCTTGATTTGCATATTATAGATTACATTTTTTTGAAAATCTACGATAAACGAAGAGATTTCAACTTTCCTACACTTAAATTAATCAACTGGAATTCCAATATTTCTAAAAGAGTTGTCCTCAATACAATTTACGCACAACTACTTAGAATTAAAAGAATCTGCAATACAACAAAACACCTCCAAGAAGAAGTACTATACTTAGTAACAATTTTGAAGAATAACCTAATTCCTGAAAAAGTAATTAAAAATACGTTAAAAAAAGCTGGCATTAACTTAGTCTTTTAGATTTTTTGAGTTAGATAATGAAATTTTATGCTTAAAGCCCTATGGAAAGGTGTAAAGTGGATGGCTGATTCAGAAGATCTAATGTATAAATGTATAATTAGTACCTCTCACAGCTTCAATTTTTACTCTTAAAATTTGGCACAGTACTTTTAATTCTATTCTTAAATAGATTTTAAGCATTTTCTGGCCATTTCTTTCCTGTTATACTTATGGGCCATTTCGTTTCTGGAAGCTTGATCGCCCTCTAGCTTGAAGAATTTCGACTTTAATTAACAATTTGCTATTTTTCATTATTCTTCTTACTTTTGTGGCCATATTATAGCATTTTGTTGAATTAGCCATTATTTATTTCACCCGCGTCCAAATTTCTTCAAACTCGTAGAGCAAGTCGCCATCTTTAACAGTTTTTGCATACTTCAACACATTGCCCTCCCTTACACTAAGTCAGCGGTCAGTCACTTTTCATTGGCTCTTTCCTCATGACGTTTCTCCCCCTTTTTACGTCATCCTGCTTTGTTGGTTAGCAGCTTACATGCTCGAGGCTTACACCTCTTTTCAGTTTGATCATTACAGCTATGAAGACATCGGCTATCCAGGTCTGGTTTTGAAAAAAATATTTCTTTCTTTTGTGTTAATTTTTGGTCTTAGCAAGACCCTTACTAAAAATGCATTTTTTTATTATTATTATTTTAAATTTTAAATTTAATTTTTGGTACTTTCACAAAGTTTAAACTCTATAAGCTAGTAGGTCCTCACATAAAATCTTGTATATTTTGACTAATAGCAAATCGCTATTTATTTTATTTTGTACATCGGCATTACCAATCCATTATTTATAGTTTTTATTACACCTTAATGTGTTTCTTCAAGCGGACGCGTCGGGAAATTGGAACAGAGAATTGAGACTAAAGTTTTTGGCAAACGCGTCGGGAAATTGGAATAGAGAATTGAGACTAAAGTTTTTGGCAAAGTTTTTTCAATTAATTTATAAAAAGTGTTTCGTATACAGTTTCAGTTGTCTGTTTCAGCGGAACGCGATATGGAGTTAGCTTGATTCGAATATAATTAAAAATAATTTCCCCTGAATAGCCATAATGAGATTCGAATTAGGCTAATCTACCATTTACCGCTTCTCTGTTTTTATATTTTTGCTTAAATCATTTGTCGCACTTTAATTCTAATGTTTAAAATATGCCTTACTTTGATTAGCATATTGCTTACAACTAGTATTGAATTTTATTTGTAAATATTCAAGTTTATTTTATCTTTATTACACATTTCATTGCACCTTATTTATTTATGTTAATATTTTACGGAACCACAGTATCTAAGCAACTTTTTAGCGTACGAACTAAGAATTTTCTTTTAACTATTTTATATAAATCATATTCAAATGCAACAACGCAGATCAAATCAAAAGTCATAATCAGACACAGCAAAGTAGGATCAAAAAGGAATTCGATCGAAACGGAGGAAACAACCGCTCCAAAAATTCGAGAAATAAGAAAACAAATTTTAAAAGTTAAATGATTTTGACATTTAAAGGGATATTTAGCGAGATAATGTTAACCTGTTTCTAAGTTAATCAATGTATAATTCAGAAAACTAATTAACATATTTAGAAAATTTTTAATCAGATGAAACAAATTATATTGCACAAAAGTAGCCCAACCCTAACACACTTGAAATAAAAATAGCACTTGGCTAAAATAATAAAAAAAAATACAATCAAAATAGAAAAAGAGTAAGAAAAATGTTGGCAAAATGCATACAAAATAAAACCACCTGTAACGTAGAAAAATAGGTAAAAGTTTGAAAATGCAAGCTATGACAATAAATCACAGTGATGAAAATATGCTAAGGAATCAAAATGCTTTCGAACAAAGGCCATTAATTAATAAAACTTCATTATTGAAGACATAATGTGCCAATTAGTAAAGTAGGAAAGCGAAGTAAAACAGTGAATTTTAAATAAATTTTAATCAAATTTATTATTAAAAATAGCTAAAAAAAAGGAACAGAACGTTTGCAATATATAAACATAAAGTATTGCCAGCACACGAGTCCGAGTATTCGATTTCAATATTTTAAAATTATGTTACATTTCTTACGAAAATTTTGACACGAACAGAGAATTTCATTCTGTTTATATCAGCAATGTAAAAGCATAAATGCAGAAAATAACGGTATTTATAATTGCATTCAGTACCATTAATTCGAGTTTTTATTGAAAACAGTTTGATAAAACATTCATAAATGTTTATATACAACTCAGTTTACCTGTGAATCGTACAGTATGGACATCTACGTAAAGCATTCCTGGAGGTAGAATACCTTTCCCTTCTTCCAGAGCTCGAACGAAAGTGAAACCAACTCTTTGGGGTCCATCAGACAAAGGTCGTTTTAGAATCACTACACAATGCACTACGACGCTGCCATTCCTGCAAGATAGAATTTTTATGTAAACATTTGCTGGATGGCGGGGAGGAAGAAAGAAAAAAAAGTTTTATTGGAAATAAAAAAAAATTAGTAAAATTTTAAAAAATGAAATTAAATAAGTAAATTTTGGTTTTAAAAATGTCTGCAGTTGCAAACCGTTCTGTGCCAAATAATTTTTGGCATGCTTCAATTAATTTCCTTGCTGAAGAGTACAGTGAGTCAACTATTTCACTTATGTGGGAGTGGAGAAGATTTGTAAGAATGAGATAACTTCTGAAATACTTAAAAGAATCTCTGCTGCAAATAGATGTTTTCATGGGCTAAAGAGCTATTCAAGCTTTCTCAAGTTAAGAATTAAATTACTTCTTTAGAGGAATCTTATAAGATCTGTCCTGATTTATGCGTCAGAAGTTTGGTCGCTAACTAGACGCAACGAGAAGGATATTGCGTTGCATATTTACGGGGTCCGTGTGAATGGATCGTGGAGAGGAAGATCTAATTTAAAGCTCTACAAGATCTATAGACAACTTGATGTAGCAAAATTCTTCAAACTGAAGAGACTTAAATGGCCTGGTCATCTGGCCAGAATGCATGAGGATCGGTGTTGTAAGAAAATCTTTCTGGCAATGTCTATGGGAACTAGACCTCGCGGTAAATCTCTGGTAGGATGGATCGATCGTATTGAAAATAACCTAAACATTCTAAACGTCAAAAACTGGAAATCAGTTGGGAAAAGCAGAAAAGCGTGGAGAAAGCCAGGCCCAACCGGGGCTGTCGAGCCAATAAAGAAAAAGAAGGTAAAACAACATAAGAAGGTAATATATGACAACTAAATCTTCGGCAAATGTATTCATAAACAAAAATTATTTTATAAATTAGAAAAAGCATCATCTATTCCTTTGAAATAATGTCCATCATTTGCACTGAACTTTTGACAACGACGCTACAATTCCTGAAAATTGCTGACAAAATCCTATTTTGGTATCACATAGAGAACCTCGTTACATAATTGAATATCTAGAACATCTGAAAGTCAACTTATGTCTAAAAGACTTTGAATTTCTGAAAGTAGTTCTTTTTTTAGGACTGTTTTCATTTGCGGATATAGAAATAACTTTGCTGGAGTAGGATCAGGTGCATCATTGAGGGCTACAATTCTTTTTCAAGCCATAAATTATTTCATGATAAGATCCTAGTGGCGCCAGATATTATCATGGTGAAGGAACCAACAGCTCACCTCAACATATTTTGGACGTATGTAATAGACACTTTGCAATAAATTTGCCAGAACATCTATATTGTTACGTTTTTCCTTTTCTGACACCAGATGTTGCGTTATTTTCTTCGTTCACGTTCGTACGGGGTTTGTGTATTTGGAGTGAATAACGACGACACTTGATGAAGTATCGAAACACACTTTATTTAGCCAATGTTAATCAGGACAACTATGCTAACACTTTTTACAGTCGTCGGAGATCTACTATAAACACGTTGGAACAATCACACAGCCTTCACACTGTCACGCAATAACGGTGGAGACAGCTTCACTGCAAAGCACCCGAGTACAGCTCCCAACTCTGCTTGGTTGTTCTCGGAACTCCACGTACTCTCGAGACTCCCCACACGATGCACTCGACGATTCACAAGAGTATAGCTCTCGACTCAGTCTAAGACAAAACTCGACCATGCACTAAAAGACTCTCTCGATGCACTCGACGATTCACAAGAGTATAGCTCTCGACTCAGTCTAAGACAAAACTCGACCATGCACTAAAAGACTCTCTCGATGCACTCGACGACCACCTCGGCGCTAGACTTCGAGGCACTCGCTCAGTGACTGACTATCAGCTCGCTAGACGAAGCGCGCGCGCACGCACACACACACACACACACACACACACGATGAGAGACGCACACTCCCTGACTGCGGACCAGCAGAGTTTATATAGCTTTCGGCTTATGTTCGGAACATTCTGGGCTAAACCGGTAAGAATTCGTTCCAGAAGGTTCTCCAACCGTCCATGGTACATCGCCAATTTTGTTGCCAAATATCGCCAAATGGGCGATTTCTCGTCAAATATGACAACCCTGCCTCCTTTGCCACTTTATGGACACCCTAAAACTGCTTTGCGGGGAAGCCATCTTACCGCGCCTGTACATTTCTTAACAATATATATGTCAGCATTCATCGCTGCTCTTTATGGGTAATATCTTCTTCACTTTTCCAGTGTTTCGTCTCTGCGATAATTGGTAGACCCCGACAGAATGCATCACCCAGAGAACGTTTAATCAATTTATAAATGCACTTTAAAGATGCGGCTTCTTCTCAAACTTTCTTTATTGCGTTATATGACTTTCGCAGATTTAACCAAGCTTCGAACAGAGCTTGAAATACGTTCGCTGCTCCATTTTGCAGCCTGCGTGTTAAAGTCCATGCATGCCTTACCTTTGCATGCTAAAGTCTTACTAACATAAATCTATTATATCTGTTTCTATGTTGTGCTCAGATATAACGTGATGGAGTATCTTTTTCGCCACCGTCTCATTCGCCCACTAGAGCGCCCATGTGCACATTATGACATTATTCACAGATTTTGCTTGTCGTACGTTGTAGTTCCGATTGCATTCATATTTTTAAAAAAATATTTCATACAATATTTTTCTTATATCTAATTATGTTACTAGAAATTTTTAAAGCTAAAATGTAATGTCTGATGACTGCAAACTAGTTATGCTGACTGCAAACTTGTGTACTTGTTACTTTTGTTGTATACTATATTAAAAAATAAATAAATGTCCGGTAATAATGTAGAATTCATAAAATGTAGAAGATCTCCGGTAATGATCTCCGGTAAATCTCCGGTAATGATGTAGAAGTCGATTTAGCACTTTTGCAGTCGTATCTTATGATCATCGAACTTTAAAATATCGAAAGAACTATGCCAGTTCTGCAGACGGCACTAAAACTCAAATAAATGAATTGTGCTGGGGGATTTTGAAGCTTAGGTTTCTACACAACATGCGGAATATCACACCACAGATGCTTCCACGTTATATCCCAAAAGCATGGCAGAGATCCGTTAATGAAAGTGATGGTTATGCTGCTTGACATTCGTAGTGTATACGGCTGAACGGCTCATAAAAACTAGCTTTTTAAAGAACCCTCCTACTTTTGTTTTATAAAATTGGAAGAAGTTTAAATTTAATGAAATTAAAAATTTACTAGGTTATTGAACTAATTAATGAAATCATTCTCATTTGTGTATTCTTAATGATTTATGTTTATTTTCATATTTAAAAATAGTGTTTTAGTGGTATCATCAAAGAAAGAAAGAAATAGCTAAAAGCGGTAGTCGCATAATACATCAATTTTATGTTTACTTTCTGCATCCGTAAACGGAATAATCCGCAAACGATTCTTCTTCATTACCATTGAGCGCGAAGAAGGGAAATTTTTGGCATTCATGTTACATAAACCACGTCTTCTTACGCAGCCATCATATTTTTGAAGATTTGAACCCAGGTCAAACTACCAGTGTTTAGCAGTCTTACCGCTTAACTTTCATGACGCCACTAAAATGTTATAAAGGGAATGAAACAGATACGTTCATTTTGGAGGCTATAAACTTATCCGATTCATCCTCTTTTATTATACAAAAATAACAGAGTTTTATTATCACCGCGGCTTGAAACGTAAAGTTGCATTTAAATTTAACACAGAAATGATTTATTGGAGATGGCGACATAAGTTGCCAATCAAGCAGATATAAAGGTGCTCAACATAGGAGAAGGTTATATGTACAATAAACTGCCTGAACAAAGCATGAATTCTGAATTACTGGCAGACTCGTAGCAATGAAAAGAGCAACCCATAATCTTGTAAAGATCTGAAACTTTCAAGGGGGGGAGATGTATATAATTTATTCAAGTTAGTATGAAAAATAAAGAAGATTAAAAGAAAACTTGTTAAACATTTTCAAAGAAGTATTTTTTATATTAAAATTATTTATGAATGGAAATTAGAATTACACGTATTCGAAAGTTGGCTATACTTTATAGCATGTAAAATAATGAAATAGGTATAAGAAAAATTTTTAATTAATCAGATTTAAGGTCTAAAATACTCTAATGGAAAATTTTGAAGAACTGTTTATATTCTAGACTCATAACTCAGTTTCCCTTAACCGATGCGCATCGCACTACAACATATTTCCAAGTATAATCAGGAAATAAATTATTAATTCATCCTAGTCTTAGATAAAAGCTGAACTCTGGTACAGTGAATGCTAATTTTGGTAAAATCAGCGACTCAATGTTTAAAGATTCACTTACGTTTACGAATACTAATGCTATTTGCACATAGTATAAATTTACAAGCAAGTTTATATTCACTCACAAGTGAAATATAGAGAAGATTAAATTGAAATAATTGTAGGACTAGTGTTAGGTATAATTTAATAAAATTTCGGATACACTGGAATTAGAAAAAGGAAGTTTCTCTTAACTCAAGAAAGTTCGCAAATTCGCACTAATTTATTAGAACTAAGCTTTTCGCTTATTTTCTTGAGCATTTTAGTTTCACTTTACAGGTAAGTGATTTCGCATTTTACAGACACATTTCATTGTGTCTCGTATTTTTTTAGTTTTACATTTAACTGCACATGCTCATTAAATTTTATCATTTTTAAGTACCGTATTTGCCGGCGTATAATACGGAACGGCCCATAAGATGCACCCCCTAAACACAATTTCGAAGGGTAAAACTGTATTACTGATTATTATAATGAATATACTATAATACCAGATATAATGAAATACTATAATACCATTGCATTAACTGTTTGTCCCCCAATCATACAAATGGATTTCATCATTGTGCTTTGCAGAAAAGTGGTTCGGTATCATCATTATTTAACGGAGAAATCGACTTGTGAATAAAAATGTTTTGCAGAGCGATGGGTCTCAGAGAAATATCTCATTCAGAATTTCTGAAGAACAATGC